TATACTCGACTTACTTTATTTGATTATTGTCTAAATAATGGAGATTTGCAACTCCAGTCTCGTAACTTTAGGTGGTTCTATTTATTAGTCATTTAACTTTAGTCACTTGCAAGTTTGGTCCCGTAACTAGTATGTAATAAATCAAGCTCTTTGCGATTTATTAAGGACTTACCTCATAAAATAACATTTCACGGCAATAATATATTTGAAAAGATATCGCAGACGTTGGATTTTCTGTCAGAAAGTGTACTTTCTGGTGGTAAAGTCATTCAATTATCAAGATTTATTTGTTATGAGACCAAATTTGCAAGCAAGTGAAATTATTATAGCTAGGACTAATATCGATAACAATCGAAAGTTACACGACTACATTAATAATTGCAAATCTCTCATGCATTAAAGTAAATAAAGTAAATTAATACAGGGAAACTTTGGGAAACAACTCCATTGACCCGGATTTTTTTATTGATGAAAACTAATTTCGAGTTATATCCTCTATCTGGCGGCAATTTTCTCTCCAAAACATGTACTCCCTCCGTCCCTAAAAGAACTTACATTTCGCTTTTCGAGAGTCAACTTAAATCACTCTTAAACTCTTACTTTATATATCAAAATTATATGAAAATTTAATTATTTTTGCAGGCTTTGTAGCGGTTTTAATGTAGTTTTTGAATATGTAATTTTTTTTACTAAAAGTAATCCGAGTTTTCACAGGGATCATTTAACTTTATCGTTGGTCAAACTTCGTAACCCGCAATTGGAAGAACATTTAGGGACGGAGGGAGTAACAAGTTTACTACGTAGTACTTTATATAAAGATAAAGATAAAAAAATGTATGGAATTTTTGTAGGTTAATTGTTGAAAATATATTTGGTAAGAGACCATAAAAACATCAAGTATTGTCAGGGGCGTAGCTAAGATTGAAAGTTGGGCTGGGCCGGTACAAAGAATTTTACAGATAGTATTTTTCACATAAATTTTTACACTAAAAATACAAAGAATTTTCAAATTTGATGTGGGTCGTGGCCCAGTTGGCCACCCCTCTACCTCCGCCCCTGAGTATGGTAATAATATTCATATTTTCATATACTCTTCAACTTATCTTTATCCTTATCTTTATATTCAGACTTCATAGAATGCTAAAGAATACGAAGTAATTGTATTATTATGCGCCTTAAATTTGTATTGGCTGAGACCCAATTACTTATTTATAAATAAGAAATTGCTCTAAATAAGAGTAAAAATCTTTTGAAATTTCAAAATAAAAGAACTAGATTTATATATCTTAAATAGGAGTAGTTACTCCCATTTTGCAAAATGGGAGTAACTACTCCCGCTAAGATTGTCCCATTTTACCATTTCGGCTCGTCCCATTAAGATTTTCTCATACCTTATTTGGTAAAGTTTGTGTGGCTCTAAATCATTCTTACTTTATTCTTACTTTATCAATTCAATATCAACCACATAAACCACTTTTTTATAAATTTGCGTGTCACTCCCTCTTGTCCCATTGTTAGTGGGACGGAGGGAGTATCACTTATAACAATAATTAACGTACTTCTAGTTACAGAAAATAATACTCCTATTTTAGAATTTCAAAACGTTTTTTATTTACTCATATTACGGGTATTTCGTAAGTATTATTTTTCTAAAATGAAATTTATGAGGTACATGATAGATGGAAGATCTTAGAGCTTCTCCAATGATTACTTCTAGAGATTTGCTTGCAATTTTGAAGGTATTAATCTACCATTCAAATATATCTTTGTTTCTAACACGGGCAAGCAAATTAGTCAAAACAAGCTACTTTCTAGAAAGGAGAAAATGATAATTACCAAATATATTTAATTTATTTTTAATTGATATACTAAATTAATAAAAAATGCAATTGTATAGTAATGCCATAAACGGTAAAGTTCCAAAACCCTGAAAAATGCAACGGTAAAGAAGTGCACTACAACTATAAACATTAAATATATTTATTTTATTTAATGATTTTGCTTTATTAATTTTAAGAAATATTTATTTGTTTATTTAATTTTCTCATGAGATATTTAAAGTTGATATTTCTTAGTATGTATGTGTTATATTAAAATTTCCTATTTTGTTTTTTACAAAACAAAATACGTACTTATTTTTGTACTAATTTTAAAAATATTTATGTTTTTTCATATAATCATCGTTATAATAATAGCACTGATAATTTATGAGTTTAAAAATATCATCTACATATTTCCTAATTTAAAAATATGTCATTATAAGCATCATTTTTATTGTATTAATAAATCAATTCATTCAAAATATATATTTTCAAAATTGGTTGATTTGTGAGACCTATTCAACAATCAAGAGGCAAGCGCAGCATTGTATAGCTAACTATTATTGTACTATCACATTGCCAGAAAATGAATTAACCAGAAAAAATTGATGTGAAAAAAAAACTGCAATGTGTTTAGGGGATCACTATTAAAGCAGTACTACATATTTCATAAAAAAAACAACACTCCGGTATTTTCTATATAAAATAAGTAACTTATTATTTTGATATTGAGTAAATAAACTCCATATTTTGGGGTATAACTACTTTACTTTACATCGTGTATAAAATATAGCTAGTCATCATAATGCCACTAAATAAAAGAAGTTTTTAAGTTCATGATACTAATTATTATTATTATATTCACCATACGAAAAAATCCATGACATATAAATATTTATTTTTTATTCTATTTTTTTTATGTTCGTGTCTCTTACATTTATAGATTTGTGTTTCTAACATAAATTTATATCATTTAATTTATTCTATTTTGTACAAAAATTGTGCACGTACACATTGCTCATTAGGCAAATTTCAATATGCGTACATTAAATTTGGTTTTATTCAACAGGTCGTCTAATTAGTGTGTATTTAATAAAAATGGATTCGAATAAGAGTAAAAACGTTTTGAAATTCACATTGAATATATTTAACAAAAAAGCTATACAACATAAGAAATAAAATTCTTCATTATTATTATTCATTTGTACTCCCTCCATCCCGAAATTATCTTCATTCTTTCCTTTTCGGTCCGTCCCAAATTTATCTCATCTTTCCCTTTTTGGCAAAGAATTTGTGGTTCACAACCATTCTTACACATTTCTCTCTCTTCTGCACAACTCTCCACCACACATTTCCCACTTTCTTAATATACGTGCCCGGTCAAAACCGAAAATAAATATGGGACGGAGGGAGTACTAAAGTTTTCTAGTCATGATGTCAAGTTAAATATAATTTGGTTTAGTTTAATTTGAATTAGTCTATTTCAGTCTAATTTATTATTCTCTAGTTTGAACTCCTTATAATTTGAAGTGGTTGAAACTGAAATAGAGTCAAATGTGAACATTTTCTTCGAATATTGTTAAACAAATGTGACAATTTTGAATGAAGTTATTGTGGACAAATACCACGAAATTAATGGACATGATTTAAATAATTTAACAAAAATAGACAAACGGTATGTATTGCACCTTATTCTTATTAAGCAATAAGAATAAGGTAAAGTAATTAAAATATCTCAAACTTTAAAAGGAGTGTGAATTAAGCACCCCAAACTTGCATATATAATTTAAATACCCCAACTTTTATGTAAAAAGTTCTTTTAGCACCAGTCATGTATTATTTCTTTCAAAATTGTTAATTTTTTGTGTAAGTTTCACAATTTAAAATATTTTAGCATTCTAAAAAATACAATTAACATTCTCAACTTTCATTTCAAAATAAATAATAATGCCCCCACTAGAGTGAACAATTGCAACATTTTTAATTAGTTATTTTAAATTATGCAATTAACACCATAAATAACATTTTTGAAAGGAATAATATAGGATCGGACCATATTGCCTAAATAAATTTTACATAAAATTTGGGGTATTTAAATTACATATGAAAGTTTGGAGTGTTTATCTCACGCTTCTTTAGAGTTTAGGTATTTTGATTATTTTTCTCATAAAAATATGACGAACACAACAACTTCTCAGTGACAGTTAGTAACTACAAATTAGAAAAGTCACGTTCATAAATTAATAATCATAAAACTTACACTTACTCTGTCTCATGAAACTTTGCTAACATTCGTTATTTTTGTTATCTCAAAAACTTATAATCCCTTTGTCTCAGAAAAAATTATACGAAATATGAGAAAAAACTAAAATGGTTGATAAGTTTGATAAACCGTAAACATATATGGAGCACCAAAAGGTTCCTAGATTTCCCGTGCAACGCACGGGTTTATCGTCTAGTTTGAAGTGGTTGAAACTGAAATAGAGTCAAATGTGAACATTTTCTTCGAATATTGTTAAACAAATGTGACAATTTTGAATGAAGTTATTGTGGACAAATACCACGAAATTAATGGACATGATTTAAATAATTTAACAAAAATAGACAAACGGTATGTATTGCACCATAATGACAATCATCATATACGTAGTATACGTATATATACGCGACTTTTCCTTATTTCCTTTTCGAGAATGCTAATTGCTAACTAGCCGGAGCATTTAATTTTTCCTACGTTATTCAAGTGATCAAATTGGTAATATGTTTTCATTTTCAAAAAATGCCTACCACTTTCATGATTTCGATCCCCTATATATATAAAATGAGTAAAAAACTTCAAATTGAATGACACAAACTCGTAAAGAAACAATAATAATCTAGGAAGGGGAAAATGAAGAAAGAAACTGTGGTGCTTATTGTTGGGGCAGGACCAGCAGGACTTGCAACTTCTGCATGTTTAAATGTTCAAAACATACCCAACATAGTGTTAGAGAGGGAAGCCAAATGTGCTTCTATATGGAGAGAAAAGAGTTATGACAGGTTGAAACTTCACTTGGCCAAAGAGTTTTGCCAGTTACCCCACATGCCATTCAGCCCTAATGCACCCACATTTCTATCCAAGGAAGAGTTTGCCAAGTATTTGGACACTTACACCTCATATTTCAGCATCAAACCCCTCTACCAAAGGGTAGTTGTGTCGGCCTCGTGTAACGAGGAAAATCCCGACGAAAGATGGTGGCTCGTTAGAGCAAAGAATACTACTGACGAAGAAGGAGGAGGAGAAGAAGAGACTTACATGGCTAAGTTTCTTGTGGTTGCAACAGGTGAGAATGGTGAAGGGTTTATACCACCTGGGATTAATGGGCTGCATGGTTTTAGTGGGGAGATAATGCATTCTAGCCAGTATAAAAATGGCAAAAAGTTTCAAGACAAATCGGTTCTGGTCGTTGGTTCTGGAAATTCTGGAATGGAAATTGCTTATGATTTATCTGATCATGGCGCTCGAACCTCCATTGTTGTTCGTAATCCGGTAATTAAGTCACTTTACTTCTATTTTAAAGTTTTGCCAGTTTCAAATTTTAAAGTCAACGGTATTAAACCTGACCAAAATTATATTTTTTACGATATATAGCCATACTATATATGCTATATGTAGCAAAAAAATTATACCCAGTGTAAATTGCATATATGTACCTCTCGTTAAATATTGACCTTTGCTATACTATAATAGTGATTGTATTTCTATAGTTAGTTGTGTTTAATGTTTTTCGGTCACTAATATGAAAGATAGATGAATCATCAATCCGGCACCTGAAGATGAAATGTGTCTGTGTAGGGCTCGTAAATTTAAAATATTATTTAATTATTTAGTTTTATTAAAAGAATAAACTTTTGTGAAGAAAAATTCATTAAAAATTAGCAATACATTAATAAAAAATTAAATAATTCAAAATCTATGGAAGGTTTGTCCTAGATGGATAGTTTTCAATATTTTGGACCCTACATTGGCATTGTCACATTTTATCTTTGAGATCCCGAATTGACAATGTATTTGTTACGTTATTCAGGTCTTAAATGGATAAAATTCCTTATTTTATTTATTTATCTATTTATTTATTTATTTATTTATTTATTTATTTATTTATTTATTTATTTATTTATTTATTTATTTATTTATTTATTTATTTATTTATTTATTTATTTATTTATTTATTTATTTATTTATTTATTTATTTATTTATTTATTTATTTATTTATTTATTTATTTATTTATTTATTTATTTTTTACACAGAACATAATACTTACCCAACGTTTTGTACTTGTGATGACACGTTATAATTCAGGTGCATGTTCTTACCAAAGAAATGGTACAATTAGGCATGACTTTGCTGAAATTCCTCCCTCTGGATATCGTCGATAAATTAGTGGTTGCTTTAAGCATGTGGAAGTTCGGAGACCTTTCTCCATTCGGACTGCAGAGGCCCAACAAAGGCCCATTTTATACCAAGCGGGCCACACGGAAATCACCAGTTATTGACGTTGGAACATCGAGGAAAATCAAAACCGGAGAAATCAAGGTGATTTTCTTTTCTCTTGCCCTCTTAAATAGGTTTTATCTAACTTTTTTTTATACCCCAGGAGGGCGTCGGGGGAGGGGGTTTGAGGGGCTAGGCTGGACTGCTTCTTCTAGGTTTTATCTAACTTGTTTAGAATGTTTTTAAATGAATCGAAATTTTATGGTGTAGTCTGAACTGATCGAGTAAATATTTTTGTAATTTACAACTATCAAAATCCCGTCCGGTCTGACATGGTGTGTTGAAATCCGATTTGATCTACGGAGTATTAGTACTACAAATATGAGCATATATAATCTAGACATATAGAATTTCAGTTCAATTTATTAAACTTAATTATTTGTGATAAATTTTAGGTTTTTCCAGCACTAAAAAAAGTGGCTGAAAATCGTGTTGAATTTGAGAATGGGAAGGCAGAGAAGTTCGAGGCCATCGTATTTGCTACTGGGTATCGAAGCACCGTGAGGAAATGGTTGATGGTATGCATCTTATTTAATAACTTTCCCCACTCCTTTGCCAAAAAAAAAAAAAAACTTTCCCCACTCCATGTGAAATATAACAAAATTCTTATTTCTTCACTTCCAATTCACTTTATGATCTCAAATTGAATAGCATTTTGTGACGATTTTTACAAATTTTAGGGATTTTTAACTAAATGGTTTATTTTTTTAATATGTAGATCTAAATTGATGAAAAAGTTCAAGTCAAATTTCCCGAAGAATGATTAAAAATAAGGTTTTTTTTCCTGAAATATAAGCGACTTTCTTCCCAAAATAGAATAAATTAAATTATTATTATTATTATTATGAAATCATAATATTATAATGTAATATTATTATTACATTATCATGCATTAGTGTGACACTTATTATATTGTCGTAATGTGGCAATACTATTTGATGATAATTATTCTTATTTCAAGATAAAAACATATCACCCTCATTTGGGGAAATCATATTGCTTTACTCTTTGTTAGGACAATTCCTTAAAGTTCAACACGATTAGTTCTGTGAACTCCATATCAAGAATGATATTTTTCTCCAAAACGAAGAAAGAATTTAGTGCCGAATGATTTCATTCACTTCATAAGCTCTCAGAATCACAAATTTTAGAAAATGACTATAAAAAGTCAGTTTTTTCCTATCTTTCAATAAATATCTAAGAACAAAGATATGTTATATTCGTCTGTATTTTACTTCATTTTACCTCTTTTTTGTTATTTCCTAAATTACCCATTAAAAATCATTAAAAGATTATTAATTTGTCTCTTTTAAAAACAAACAGGGAGATGATGATGGGCTTTTCAACGAGGATGGAATGCCAAGAGAGAAACCACCAAACCACTGGAAGGGGAAGAATGGAATTTATAGTGCGGGATTTGCTGGCGCAGGATTGGCTGGAATCTCTAATGATGCCCTAAACATTGCGGAGGACATTCAACGGCTCTTAATCACCCAATTTAAAATGGGCAATACTAAATAATCATTGGCGGCAAATGGGCTCACTCTCATATATATGCATTATTAGGGGTGTCCGTCTGGTTTGATTTTGTTGGTTTCGATTTTATTGGTTCGGTTTTAGTCGGTCGGTTTTGATCGGTTTTGGTTTTTAGTCATTCGGTTTTGATCGGTTTTGGTTTTCAGTCATTCGGTTTTGATCGGTTTGGTTTTTAGTCAGTCGATTTTAGCGATGTTTAAAATAGATGAAACCAAGAATAGGACCGCGAAAATTGACTCAATTTTGGTCAATTCGTATCATTTTCTATCGATTTTAGCCATTTTTGTTGGTTTATTTTCGTTTGACCGGAGTTTTAAGCCAAAAGTATGAACTGTAAACCGAATAACCGATGAATTAGTCACTTTCACTCGATTTCAATTTTATCGATTTGGTTTTGGTCGGTTTTGGCCGATTTCGATTTTGGTCGGTCGATTTCGGTCAGTTTGGCGTTGGTTTCGTTTTTTCGTTTTTTTGTTCACCCCTAATATGCATCATGATGGAAAGTCACCCTACCAGCAGTTTTTTTTTATTATACAACTCCCAGCGTAAGTGGATGGCTACCCTCCTCCTGCTCACATGTTTTGGTGGAGTATTTCATACCAATAGTACTATATCTAGCCATCAAAAGAGTGCATTTTTTGAATAAGGCAAATTTTGTAGTGCCTTTAAGGTACCATATCTTATCTATATGGACCAAATGAGATAATATAGTTGAATTATTTAAACATTAGTAACTGATCAATTATTTAAATGAAATATCTATTACATTTCATTTTGTGTGAATTTGAAAATGTATGGCAGCATCGATTCTCTTATAATGCATAGATTGATAAATCTCTTTGTTTTTAATCCAAATGTATCATAGTGTGTACATAGACAAAGGAAATGACATAGTTACTATAATACAGAGTATAAGCTTTAGTGCTAATAGTGTGTCCAAAATTTAGCTCAAACAACATTTCTATAGATATTCTAGGGCCTTGTTTATTATTTCCTTTTTATAGACATGAACTTTGCCAACCATTGAAACGACAAAACATGGAAGTTCACTAACTTCAATAAACCTGATGAATATACTTAACACCAAATTTAGTGATATTGGGTGCACCTAAGTGAGCCCCAGTGCAAATATAAAGTAGTCACTTGGACAGCTGATAGGTTAGGTTAATTCAAGCGAATGCAGTACTTGTTTGTTTGGATGAAAATCCTGATTTGGAGTTTCTCCAGTCTCCACAACTGGATTGTTGGAGGTGTTAATTGTTAGTACCATTGACTGAACAAGTCTTACTTGTTTGGTATTGGTTTATGCTAAGACTTCACCCTAAAATCACAAATTTAAAACATTTTGCCAAACAGGCTGAAGATGAACAGAAAAATAACAACACAACCACAGGCAGTTTAATTTGTGCATGCTTTCAGGCTTTGGCTTTAAGCCGGGGTAAGCTGACTAAAACTGATACAAAACAAATGAAAGTAACTGAATCGCACCGACTGAAACCCATTGAAGTTCGTTTGTTTGTTTTTCAGTTTTGCAATTTTCAAAACTGAACCTTTGTAAACCAAAACGATCAAACCAAAACGAACAAACCAAAACCTACTTAGATGTTGGTACATGAGAGCAATGTGCCCTTTTGTTCAGAAAGGGTGGCTTTTATGCCTTTTATGTATACACTGAACAATTTACAGAACCAATCCCAATTTGCACACAAACAAGTACCGATATAACCACTTTCCAAGAGAAGATTATCATGATTCATGGCTCTAAAAAATGGTCCAAATTTTGTTCACCTTTTTTTGGGATAGCCTCAGTAGATTAGCTGATACTGAAAAGTGTGATGAAATAAGAGTGAAGGTTCAACTGCTGGTAAACAACACCAGAAGTGTCATAATTGCAAGTGTGTGGGAGATCATAAGACCAACCTTCTTTAAAACAAGTGTGGCTGAACTGGTATCATCACTTTCATCAGCTGCAAAGTTTCCCTCTGGTGTCTCAGTTGTCAAGACAACAACTATCCAGTCTTTTTCTGAACCAATCCCCATACCCGTAAATCTAGTATCATTCAGGTTTGCCGAATAACTTGACAAAGTGTAGTTTAAGAGAACAAGACTGGCGTCAAGATTATGAACACATGCAGGTAATATGGCTCCATCTCTTGTTGTGGAAACATTCAATTTGCACTTTGTAAGACGATCAGGATAGTTCTGAAAATCAGGCTCTGTGCCAGGAATAGTGTTGGGACCTGTGGTATTAGTACATGGTTGATCTTTAAATTCATTTGCCATTTCCTCAGCAAGGCATTTTGCTGTCTCACTCTCCGTTAAATGCGTCAAGTTTAGCGTTGCCCTGTAACTGTTAATCCCTTGAAAGAGGTTTTTTTCCTCCTCATCATCTGTGTGATTTAAAGAAGAAACAACACCAAACTTATTATTGTATATGTAGTATTTGAATTTCATTACCTGTACATTCACTCTTTACTCGCTCCAGTTAGTTTTTCCAATAAATAAGGGTAAAGTTCTAGGAGAAGCGAAGATTATCAGAAAAACTGGAAAAGAATAGAAGGGGACTGATGAAAAGGTAGGAGTATTTTGAGAAGAAGTCATATGCAGTCAAATTTTAGAATTTTATTCATGCTTTCGTCTTATTTTGTCAATTTCTTATTTTCTTTTTATTTCTACTTGTTTTTTCCCTTTTTTCTTCTTGTTGTCTTAATTTCATCATCAGTATATTTCTTTCATTTTCCGCATAGTCATATTTTTTTAAGAAAGTCCACCCATTAATTCAATGGACTAGAGGGTAAACTCTTTCTGATAAAAAAATGAAATATGAAGAGAAAATTCAGGGAAAAGTAAGAAAGTAAAATTGAGAAAATAGAATTAATTGAATAGTACGGAGTAATCCATAACAGGGAAACAGAGTAAAAACAGGGAGTAAGAAGAATGGAAAAAGACCATTGAGCAAAATTCTACAAAAAAGATTTTCCTGATAGGGCAGAGAGGAAACATGAGAAAATATATAAAACAACTAGAGCATGAAAAAAGGGAAAAAGTGCCGAGAAGATAAAAAACAAAAGGATAAAACTTCTAGAGAGAAAAAGGAAAAATGATATACAAGATTGTTTTGAAAACATCGGTGATATGTGAGATTATTTATTCAATGTTTTGAAGGAAAAACAAAAACCTGGAAATAATATGTCATCAACGGGTCAAAGGCTGGTGAAAAAAGTCAAAAGGATGAGGTGCTAAGGTGAGATTTTTCTGAGATTATATTTAGGTGAGATTATTATGAGAAGACTGGTGAAAAAAGAGATTATTATTATCAATTTTAGGCAAAATCTAGTGTAAAAAGATCCACTAGTCCCTAATGCGTGAAAGGTGGGACAAATGGGATAGTAAAACATGTTATTTTGAGTCCAAACCTAATTTATTTTCGTGTAACTTGACATCACAAGAGCTCTGAGAAGATTGAACAACATTTACTAAGAGATATTTTTCCAGAATTTTAAGTGTTTGATACACATGGAAAATGATATCAATGGAGAATGAATATGACTTTTAGATGTTACCCACCACCACCCACCCCACCCCTTCCATCTCCATCACCAACTCTACCCCAAGACAGCTGCCACCGGCCCACCACACTCCATTTGTAATTCTGGTGAATTCAAATTGAAGATTGAAAACAAGTTTTTAGCAGACCAAGCCCAGTCAGAAATTGGCAATGCAAATACAGATGGTTACTTACAGGCAATCACTTATTTGGGAATTGGGGTGCTTATCACAGAATATCACCTATTCAGATGCATCTAGATCTCCGAACCCCAATACAGATTTGTCAAGTACCAAACAGCCCTAACTTAAATTTAAACCCCCAACGCTTCAAACATAAAGTTTACTTCAAACGAGCTCACTAGAGCAGCTTGGAATAACAACATTTTTGTTAAGCACAATGAACGAGAAAGAAAGCAGGAGAAAGAAGAAAAAATCACAAACCATCGCTTCTGACTTTGATGAAGATGATGGGTTGGAGTAGAAGACAGATGAAAAGGACTTGACGAAGAGACGTCGCCATTGCTGCTATCCTTGATGGTTGAAAGCTGATGGAGAACAGAGAAGAGATGGGGGTCCTAAACAAGTCCAGTGATCTTAGCTTTCAATCCAAGTCTTCCTCCCACTCCTTAAAAGAGACGATTGGAACTCACTCTAATAAGGAAAATGCTCAGTGTACATCAGTTGTACACAAGTTGTACACAAAACCACCCTAGTTGCCTGTGTACACAGGCAATTCGTTAAAAAGGGGGCAGGAGTTGATGCCAAATTGCCTGTGTACACAGACAATGTACACATTTTGTGTACATCTTGTGTACACCAAGAATGGTCCCTCTAATAAATGGTAGGCAAGGGGAATTCTCAATTTATGTCTAGGTCCTTCAAATATTTTACAACTATTACCAAAGTACATTTGCCTTTTACCGCGAAAATATTTCACAACGGTTAGTCGGTAGGTAAATGAAACTTCAGTCTTATTTCATTTCTGTTTTCAAAAGTTTGGGGTTTGTTTACTAACAGGGATATTTTCCATACTTTTAGAAAACTGGAAAAATGAAAACACAAAACTTGTTTACCAAAGAAAATTACTGAAAAACTGGAGAAAGGAAAACAAAAAACTGTGTTTACCAAATCTTTTTCCAAAACAAAAATAATGAGGCATGTCTCTCTTTTCCTTAATGAATTGGAGAAGTGACTTTTATTAGTTTTCCAAATTTGGAAAACGTGGATGCTGCAGTGCCGCTACAATAAATTTGCATACTTAACGTCTAGTAGTGCATCCGATCAATGACCCGGCATTAAGGTTCGGTCATTGACCCGGCGGTCCCTGTCCGGTCTGGTCGACGGTCGAGCAATCCCGGTCTGGTCCGGTCGACGACCCGGCAATCTCTGTCCGATCCTCTCCACAACTAGGCAATTCGGTCCATGACCCGATTGTCTGGTCGGTCAACGAACCGACGGTCCCTGTCTGATCCGATCCACGACCAAGCGGTACCTGTTCAGTTTGTCAACGGGAGGACAGTCCCGGTCTGATCTAGTATGGTCAATGACTCGGCGGTCTCTGCCTGGTTCGGTCACGTACCCGACGGCCTGATCCGGTCATTGACCCGACAGTCCATGTCATGTTCAGTCGACAGTCATGCAATCCCGATCTGGTCCGGTCGACGGTCCCGGTCCGGTTTGGTCGACGACCTGAAGGTCCCTGTCCGATCCATGGTCTGACGGTCCCCCATCCAGTCTGGTCCACGACCTCGCAACCCCCTGTCTGGTCCGGTCCATGACCCGACGATCCCTATCATGTCCGATCGATGATCCTGCGGTCACTGTCATGTCCGATCGATGACCCGACGGTCCCTGTCCGGTTCGATCCACGATAAAGAATACCTGTTCGGCCCGTCCGGCGACCACGCAATCCCGATCCGATCCAGTCTGGTCAACGACTCGACAGTCCCCGTACACTCCGATCAACGAATTGGTGGTCCCCATCCTCTCCAGCCAACCACCCGACGATCCCCGCCCTATCCTATCAACGACCAGGCGGCCCCCATCCTGTCCCTCCAATGACCCAACAGTCTGTGTTCGGTCCGATCGACAATCGGGCGATCCCTGGCCAGTCTCATCAACGACCCGACGGTTCAGTCTTGGTGTTTTGAAATCATTTTTTAAAGTGAAGAGTTTTAAAAGAGCTGTTGAGTTATCAACTAATAGGGAAATGGGAAAAGAATTCGTCAAACTAACCATTGAGATCGACCCGCACCGGCCGGCTTCAGGCCTGACTTTCCTATACATGGGGCCTGATACTCTACTTGGATTGTACTAGGTTTGATTTCGGGATGGGACCACACTTTCAATCTTCTAGTAGATCACATAACCGGGCGAAAAAAATTGATGAACATGTTTTCGGATTTGAAAATGGAAAACTAAAAAATGAAAACACAAAATTGGAGATAGAAAAATTGGAAAATTAAAAACAAAAAATTGGAGAACGGAAAATAGAAACGGAAAACAGGAAAATATCTATGTTAGTAAACAGACCCTTGTTGTTTACATTTATGTAATGATGTTTCAAAATTTGTTTTACATTTATTTACATTTTTCTTATTCAATTAAAAATTTAAAATCATACATTTTCACTTTATTCTCACTTTTAAACTCTCATTCCAAGTCTAACTGGAAAGAATTTTATGGGACGAAAGAAGTAACAATTTTTATATTTTCAAAATAGAATTAATTCTTCTCATTCCACCTTGTCATATACGGAGTATTTTTTTTATCATCAAACGGGTCTCTATTCATATCAAAAGATTCAGTATCATTACATCAAACAAAAGGAAAATAAAATTGACACCAACTGAAACTTTAACAACTACGACTGTAACCAACCCTATGGTGAGACTTTGAGACGGTCACCCCTGAGAGAGCAACACGAATCGCTACCCATGTAGTGGGCTTGACACAGCCAAACCTATTCCCATAGATCCAACCATACCCAATGACATAAAGAGAGGCAAAAACTCAAACAAACTGTCAAAACCAACAACAAAAGTGGACAAAAGAAAACAAATAACAAACAGATAAAAACTACAAGAAAAGCGTTCACGAACTCTAACACCTCGTACATCCCATGGTGGTGGTTCAGGAGGAGGTCTTACCACCGGTACCATGCTAATTGATACTCCGTGACCTTTGTCTGCCAAAGGCCATGCATCAATCCTCCGTCCCTGCATAACCAAACTCATCCTTGCTTCATGCAATCAGAGTAAACGGATAGGCGGCGCCGATCTTCTCCAACGACGACAGCAATACATCATCCTCGAACCTTGACCACAACGCCGATCTCCTCGAGCCATGACAGCAAATCCGCCCTTCGAGTATGAAGCACAAACAACAACAGCCGTCCTTCGATTAAAATCGAAGACGGAAATAGCGGCTGTCCTTCGATTAAAATCGAAGACGGAAAAAGCGGTCGTCCTTCGATTAAAATCAAAGACGGAAAAAAACTCCAAGCGGCCGAAGCCCTAGAGAGAAGCGAGAGACCATAACATCAATTCCCTCGACGAAGACAGATGAAAATTACCCAACGCAGTTCAATTCGGCCGCACTTCAATTTCTCCTTTTCTTCTTGTCGAACCTCACAGCCGTCAAAATTATCCGGCGGACCACCCTTTGGCAGAAATAGATTTAGGCTGTCGAAGTTTCTTCCACCTTGTCATATTTTAATAAAAACAGTCCGTATCTTTTATTTATAATAAATACATAAAAACGTTAAAAAAACACTCTGTACTACTATACATAGGTAAGTCTATGCAGCGGCCTCAGTCACCTACTGGCAATGCGATCTTGCATCAATGTTGTCATCTTAAAGACATTTTCATAGCAAAATTTAACATTTTTAAAAAATAATAATGTCACCTTCATAACATTTTCAGATAAAAAGTACTCCTTATCCGAATTATCTTCTATTTCAGATAAAAAGTACTCCTTATCCGAATTATCTTCTAAAGTGAGTTTTATACAAGGACTAAAAAAGTGAGAATTGTGTGCTGAAGAGTTGTGTTGATGAGAGAGAAATGTGTAAAAAAATATTGTGTACCATAACTTCTTTGCCAAATATGGAAAAAGAAGATATTTTGAGATAGACGGAAAATGAAATTTGGAAGATAATTCCGGGACGGGGGAGTTGTATTTTTTTTTATACAAGTCGACATTTTCCCCGCCAAACGTAGGCGGCATTGCGTGGAGGCAGTGCAGGAAGGATCTGTGGCATGCTTTTGTAATGCATTTTTTTTTATAACTTTTAGTTTTTTTTTTAATTTTTGATGTTTTTATTTTGTATGTTCTTATTCAAAATAAAGGCATTTTTAATTTTTTTAAGTTTTTATAATAAACAAAAATCAAATTTCTTATTAAAATATGATAAGGATATAATAGGAGTACTTATATTATTGGTCCTCAAACTATGTGGTACAATCACTTGTACCTTGAGTATGATACATTCGGGTATTCTCTGACCCGTCATGTTTAGTAGCCTAATATGATGTAGCCCAACCCTAATTCTATTCAGCCGCACCGTTGGATCCGATAGCTCATTGTCACCCAGTCAATGTCTCCATGTTCATTGTTGGACTCAATGTTCATCGCCGTAGTTCTGGCTGCAGGCGCAGATGACAATCACGAATCCAACCTCGCCCCCAATCGCGGCGTGCTTACCAAAGCGTCACAAAATATTTTGGTTTCAGAAGCCACACTTAAACTAATGAAAAGGAACCACAATAAATTGTTACGTATGTGAAACAATGAGTACACAGTATATTCCAAATGAGCATTTGAAATTCGTCCCACAGCAGCACGAGACCTTGCTATTAAAATAACTTTTAAGTACACAGGGACCTTAATATTCATTGATTTTCATTTACCCCAGTGCCGCAAAGGCTCCCACCTACGGTGGGGTAAGGGGGGTCGGATGTACGCAGTCATACCTCTGTACTAAAGCACATAGAGACTGTTTCCGGATGACCCATAGTGAAAATCGCGTCCAAAATTGCATGTACTGACTGATGCTTCATAACAAAGAAGCACAGACAGTTTAGTGAGCCATTTTGCTTTACTCCATCATATTCTCAAGCAAAAAAATAATGAATCTTTGACTCCATTGCAAATGATGGACCTTGCTCATCATTTCTTCTCTGCAGCAGCAGCACAGTTCTACTCTTCATCAACACAGTTCAATGCCAAATTTATATTGCTTCAACTTCATGCGTAATATAGCTCCAATACCCCTTTTTAATGAATGTCCAAGACAGTAAAAATATCACTAAAAAAAACCATTTACAAAGCACAAGCAATTCCCACCTTAAATCCCCGCCTTAAATTCCCGCCTTATATCAGAAAAATAAAGTTACATTAGCCGCACTAAATATTTGATTGTGTGCTTTCATGATTAATAATAACGAGTCGTCATCTCATAAAAGGTACTAGCCATCTCATCTCAACTCCATTTTCATGGGATAGATAGTAAATCTTCTAGTTTTCTTCTGAGAATGACTGACGAAGTATAAGTCATTGTCTGAGGTAGTAATAACAAACAACAACAGCTTCATCTAAAGTATATCGAGGGAAAGTTATGATTATGGATTGTTTTAGAGATTAGGGATTGGCCGGATTGCATATCTCATTCAATTTCAGGCATTAAAAGTTACTCCCTCCGTCCCATAAAATTCTTTCAAACTTTCCTTTTTGGATCGTCCCAAAAAATTCTTCTTACTTACCATTATTGGAAAAATTGTGTGGCTTACATTCATTTATCTTTTTCTTACATAACTACAACCATATATTTTTCCCTTTATTTCCACTTCCTTAATTTGCGAGCCAAGTCAATGTGGGAAGAATTCTATGGGACGAAGGTAGTATGACTTACTTTGCATGTAATTTAAAAACGGATCACATATCTCACCAAACAATGTATTTTTATTTTACATGTAGAATGATTACATCCCTACAGTTTACATGTAACCAGTTTACACGTAGGGCTCGTTTGTTAGTTTACACATTAGATCTTTACACGCGAAATGATTGCATGCAAAGTTTAGGGAAATAATCGGTTTGCAAGTAAAATAGATTACATTGTTTGATTGGATATTTAATTTATTTTTATTTGCACGCAAAGGCGTTGCAGTGCTTTATAAAAAGCATGCAAAGTATTTTACCACCTTCCCCCCATGTAAAATACTTTACATGGTACCATGCGAAATGTTTTTAAAAAGTGCCATAATGTTTACATTAAATAATCAAGCCAAACAGTGTAAACATTTTACGTCCTTACACTTCGCATGCGAAGTAATTATTTTACATCTTACTTTGAATGCGAAGTGAAATTTTAATGAGTAAGAACCAAACACCCCCTTAGCTTAATTTTAGTGTTTAATGAAGGTTTATATTAGGGAAAAGGGGCAAATAAGCCCTCGAACTAATCAAAAAAGTGCAAATAAGCCCTTTTGTAGGAGGTTTCGTCTGTCTATCGTCATTTGGGGAGGTTCCCGGTGGAATTTTTTGATGAAATTTTTTGAGCATCTTATTCATTAAGTCTAGTTTAGTCATACCGAATTTCAGCTAAAAAATCAATCGGGAAGACAGTCACATGAATTTTTGAAGATTACTGCGCAGTTAAACAACGTAGTGTAGTTCCGAAAATCATTTGAGTGCCTTCCCGGTTGAATTTTTAGCTTAAATTTGGTATGACGAAACTAGACTTAATGAAGAAGATGCTCAAAAAAATTCATCAAAAAATTCCACCGAGAACCTCCCCAAATGACGATGATCGGACAGAACCTTCTACAAAAGGGCTTATATGCACTTTTTTTATTAGTTCGAGGGCTTATTTGCCCCTTCTCCCTTTATATTATTATACGAAGCATGTGATATCATCTTTTTCAATTTGTCCTTGAGCGAGAATATTTTTTAATATCACTCTTCTAGACTTGGATTCGAATCTCATCATAAATAATTTTTAACTATACTTTTATTTTTTCGTTGCCCTTTATGTGGTACCTACTCCAGAAATATTTTCCCATTGGATATGGCCAAATTTTTCTTCTTCGTTATCCCAAAAATCTTTGTCACTTTCTTATTAAAATAACTAATTCTTCTCATTTCTCTCCTCTTTACAAACTTCAACCACATGACTTTCACTTTTTCATTTTTCACCTAATTCTAACTTAGCAAAGTTCACCGGGGCGGACATTAAATCCTTTCCGTCTATATTTTATATTTATATTCAGCGTATTCAATTTAATAAAAATTGTGGAGATTGGGCAGAAGACATGGGCGTACACCGAGCCTGACTCAGGAATTTGGAAATGAACTGTTTTTGGCTAAAATCTAAAAGGGCAGGTGAATGATAGCACTTTAGATTTCCACAACTCCACAAGACGGCAACGGTTGTAAATGCTCTAGTTGCCAATCTTGTCCGCAATGCAGGAGGAATTTTTCCTACTGAAACAAATCTTTTCCGCAAAAATTATTGAACATCAAAGAACCATTAAGAGACAAGGGCTTGATTTTGTTGACTTAAGGAAAGAGATGTTACAGAGCTAAAAACTCCATTGTTCCAACTTCCAAGTAAGGCTAGTGGACACAGACTGGTCAAGGTCCCAGTGTTGTGTATCCGGGAACCGTACAACCGGTTCCAACCAGTTCATCGGGCATTTTAGCACCATGCAGCTATATCATCAGTGGAGGCCTATCATATACTATGCATGATCAGTCTGTAATACAGAAACTTCAAATGAAGATGGAGCACACCTAGCATTTGTCAAAAAGCGTCACCAAATCAAAAGCTATATTGTTGTTTCCAGGCTAAAAAAGATCTCGAAGCTCTTGCCATGGTATTCACTGACCCCTGTTTGGTTGCGCTCCCGAGAGTTAGACGCACGCGAACATGGTACAATTTTAATAAAAATATTTTTACCCTTAATGTTGCGGGTTTCTTTGATGTGCAGGCCCGTCATAACGTTGATTTCTTGCAAACAAAGCAACTATTGGCCATTGAGGAAACTACCAAACTGGATGCTACCAACCTGGATGCTGTCAGCTCGCTGCCTAACACTGCCTTTGAGGAAACCCGAGGGGACTTAGCCTTTAATGGTGGCAAAGGTTACCTTGTTACGAATATGTATGAGATGGGTATTGACGATGTTGTCACCATGGTCCTCTTGGACGAGAAGAACCGGACAATTGTGTACGCTTGGGCACCGGATGAGGTTCCTAAGGGGGTGGACACGGTTAAATTGGGGTCAAAGATGGAATCAGTCTCCTTTGATGAAACCGGAGTCACTTTTACTGAGGATTTTCTCCTCAGTTTCATGGAGGTTAAAAAGAATGGTGAATGGTATGATTTTGATAAACCTACTTTTGTTAAACGTGTCCTATCTTTCTTTGATGCTAGCTAGGGAAGGAATAAGAAGTACCTTACGGAAATGCGAAGAAGAGCGATTAAGGAAAAGAAGGAGAAAGGAGGGATAGATCCCGAAGATGAGTCTTATGCATCGGATCTCTATCTTTCTTGATTTTGGAGTATGCTTCGCTTTTCTACCTTTAATGATGATCAAGATTGCAACACGGAATGTAAGAGGTTTGAAAAAACCCTCTAAACATAGCTCGATTAGTAATTTTATTAGGAGTAATCATATTACTTTGTGTTTTTTTTAGAGACTAAAATGTCTTCGGTTGAGACAATAGAGATTAAAACTGCTCTATTTGACATCGGCAATGATAAGGCACCAGGACCGGATGTTTATTCATCCGCTTTCTTTAAGTCGAATTGGGAACTTATTGGGCATGACATAGTCCGGGCCATCAAAGAGTTCTTTCGTTCGGGTAAGTTACTTAAGCAAATAAACCACACGGTTATTGCACTTATCCCAAAAACGAATCACTCACCGAAGGTCTCGGACTATAGACCAATCTCTTGCACGAATGTTTTGTATAAATTAATTACTAAAATCCTAGTGGCTAGACTCACTCCATGCCTTCCCGGCTTGATTGACCTAGCCCAAGGTGTTTTTGTTGATGGCCGCCTCATGTTTGATAACATTTTTATTGCCCAAGAACTTGTTAGAGGATACACGAGGAAGCGAATCTCACCGAGATGTATGATCAAGGTGGACTTGCGTAAGGCCTATGATACGATCTCATGGGAGTTTCTTGATGGGGTCTTAAGGGGTTTGGGTTTCCCCACAAGATATATTGCTTGGATTATGGAGTGCGTAACCACGACTTCATTTTCTGCATCTTTGAATGGTTGTTTGTATGGCTATTTTAAGGGCAAAAGAGGTATTCGCCAAGGAGATCCAATGACTCCGCTTCTTTTTGTCCTTTGTCTTGAATATTTTTCACGATTGTGTAATTTAAAAACCAAAGGGCCGAATTTCAATTTCCATCCCCAATGAGCTAAGCTTGGCATTACCCACTTGGCCTATGCGGATGACCTAATACTCTTCTCACGGGGCGACACATATTCTATATAAATACTTGTCAATGCCCTTAAGAAATTTGGGGACGCATCGGGCCTAAGGGTAAACCATAATAAATCTAACATTTTTGTGGGGGGTGTCAATGATACCGATCTTGATGAGATTATGCCCCTTGTGGACTTTGGGCATGGGACGTTCCCGGTAAAATACCTTGGAATACCACTTGCCCCGTTAAAGGTTTCAGTGGCTCAATATGCACCCCTGATTTCTACTATTTCGAATTTCTTGAAAGCTTGGAATACAAAGACTTTATCCTATGCCGGGAAAATAGAGTTGATTAGATCGGTGATCCAAGGGGTCCAATCTTTTTTGCTACAAGTGTTTTCGGTCCCCCAAACTATCTTGGATAGAATAATATCTATATGCAGAGTCTTTTTATGGGGTGGGAAGTTTTCTAAAGTGGCTTGGGATGACATTTATCTATCAAAAGAGGAGGGAGCCTCAGCATTCATAATGCCAAGGTTTGGAACCACGCTCTCCTTTCTCAAACACTTTGGGACGTCCATAGGAAAAAAGATACACTTTGGGTGAGGTGGGTCAATGGGGTCTACCTTCAAGGTAGGAGTGTGTGAGATTTTATCCCACACAATCGTGACTCAATGTTCATGAAGAAATTGAGTCATATCCGTGACCGAATAAAGGGATGTTTTAACAATTTGAATGAAACCATAATGGGTCTAAATGCTAGATCCGAAAATGGCAAACTCGTTTCGGGAAAGATTTATGAATTATTGAGAACAAAAGGGACGGTTCGAGCTTGGATGGGTTTCATTTGGAAGTCTTATATCCCTCCCAAATTCTCATTTAACGTTTGGCTTGCTATGCGTAACCGATTACCACACAGGATAGCCTCGGTTACCTGTATATTGTTAACCGGTGTGATCTTTGCAAGGGTGGCTTGGAAACAATGTCACACCTATTTTTTCTTTGTCCTTACACTTGGAGGGTATGGGCACAAATTAAGGGATGGTTGGGCTTAACAAGGGAGATGACCACGCTAAGCAGCTCGGTCAAATGGATTTTGAAGGACCATAAGGGCTCAAGAATCATGGGAAAGGCTGTCCAGATAGCTTTCTGTGCCACGATTTTTTACTTGTGGCATGCTAGGAATGCAAACCGATTTGATGGAGGGGACAAGAAGGAAGAAGAGATTATCTCAAAGATCAAGCATGTGGTATATAAGATACTACTCAATATATACCCATATGACTTGATAAGATTCTGAGTTGAAGACCGTGACATGGATATTATGGATGCCGCGGTTTGAAGACTTTGGACATTCCGTTGTGTATTCTTGTGTGCCGCGACATGGACCTCTTGGATGCCGCGGCATGGACCTCTTGGATGCCGCGGCTTGGAGACTTCGGACACCACAACATGGACATCTTGGATGCCGCGGCACGAGGCAGTGTCTTAGACTGGGGGTGTTTGCTAGGGCAAACACTTTGTATTTTTTATAAACTCTGAACTTTTTGCTCTAGTTGCTTGCTTTGGCAGCACTGGTGTATATTTTTTATTTTTGGATTGGACAAGTACTTATACTTGGTCCTTTTAGCATGGATTAGATCGAGAAAAAACCTCCTTTCACCCTCACATTATGTGGGGGTGGAGGGTGGGGGGTTTAGGAGATCTAGGACACTTGATGTATAGTTTTCCTGGGTGTTAATATATATTTACATTTCATCCCCAAAAAAAACTTCAAATGAGGTTAATGTCTTCTTCCCAAAAGTTAGCTGGGAATGTGCAGGTAAACTGAGAGTATAATTTCATGACATCTTCATATGGAGTTGTTGATTACACGGCAAAAAAAACTGACTTTATAACTGATGATATGCATGATCAGCATCCCGTAAAAGCCTTACTAAAGTAATATCAGTTGAGCATGAACTACTTTATGAGTGTAAGAATAGCTGTTCACAAGTAAACATTAACTCGTTTTCAAATCTTCGCAAAACAAACTGCTCCCTGGGTGTTATAATACTGGTAGCATAGTACTTATCATCTGAAAAAGGTTTCCTGCAAGTCCTTCCAGCTCGATGAAGGTAACTTGCTGCATCCTTTGGCAGATCAAAATTGTATATATGAGTTGTCTCTGGTAGATCGACACCTCTAGCTGCTATATCTGTTGCCACTAAAAGATAGCCACCTCCTTGTCGCAGTTCCTGATTCCAAGTAACATGCCAAGCATATAGCAAATTCAGGAGTGCTGATCGAAGTTTATACTTCTTCTGTCACCAGCTAACACCAAGGGTCTGTTTTGGACGTGGAAAATGCTAGGGAAAGAAAATTGGGAGGAAAATATTGCACAAATTTGGAAGGAAAGAAAATATCGAGGAAAATCAAATATCGATACAAACTCAATAGATTTATTTATAATATTGTCTGGATTGACTTTTACTTCTTTATTAATTTGTTTGTTTGTGTAATATATACTAGTATACACATTAACCAATCTAAACACATGCAAAAGTTTTTCACAAAATTACTCTTTTTTCATTTTCCTTTGCTTTTACAGAGACAAATCCAAACATAGGAAAACACCTTTAATTTAGCATTTTCTTTCCTTTCCCTACCATTTTCTGGGATGCAAACGTAGCCTAACTGATCTATGTTTGACAGTTGTACTTACAGTCAAGGATGCTGCTCGTTGATTGAAATTCATGTCTTCCTCCAGTAAACTGATCTTAGAAAACCCCATCAGAGAACTTTCTAAAAATTGTACCAAATGAGTTGGAGGGGCATTTCCCGCTTTTTTCAACTTCTCAGACTGTTTTTGTGATAAAAGCCAGTAACAATGTGATGGAAGAGGTCTAACACAGAAAACAAGTAAACAACATCATATAGAGACTAGATAGTCATAGATACTTACTTGCACACCAACAAAGACGATGGCTGAATGAGGTTCATCTGACTTTAAAAGAGAAAGCAATGCCTCATACCTTTCACCTTTACTGCATACCTGACCCCAGAAGAGCAACACAAAGTGAGCGACAAAGTAAACCATTCCAGAACTGGTATAACTACAAATGGATAACTGTCATGGCATATGCTAGTTTGGGATCAACTATAAAGAAAGATTAAATGAAAATTTGAACATTAGACAATAATATCAAAGCAAACAGCTTCTGCAAATAGAATGGAAAGTGGAGACAAAAAAGAACAAATAGAGTTTCTCTATTCACTCACCACAAATCTATGATGCAGATAGGACGACATTGGCATGATTGGATTCAGATATACATGAACCACGCCTGCCTGTCAAATGCACTAAAATAAGTATGCGGATCCTACACTGAGCACCAGAAAGTATATCTGAACATGTCAATACTGCTGTAGCAAACCTTTGTCCATTTCTGTTGTACAACATCATATAAAAATCGTCTATGTTGAGGAATCGTGGCACTAGCAAAGATTGTTTGACGGTATGTGCTACTAGAGTATGATGTCAAAAGCTTCCGGAGAGCAGTCACATGTTTTGAAGAATTGAACATGAAGTCAACCTTAAACAGATCGTGTCATTTAAAATACACACTATCAAAGAGCAGTCATTGTATTTAATTCACAATTTGGCTAAATCGGAAGCATAATAATGGACAAGCATTTCAATGAATAATAAGTGACTTGTATAGAATACTACATCCGTCCTACAAAGATTGGGAGATAAGAAAGTGGCACGATTATTAACAAAAGTGGAATTATGTGATTGACATTGATTTTGTAAAGTATCAATTAAGTAAGAATTATAATACATATATTACCAAATATGTATGGAACAAACTTAGCGGGACTCACAAAAAAACAAAGGATTAAACAAAGATAGTGGGACAGGGGGAGTGACAGTTAACTACTTACAAAATTACATCTATTGACCAGAATTTAAACAAAAAATAAAATATCACATGGTGAAACACAAGGCCATCCCAGAAATGTCCTCTATTAGAAGCTCGAAGAAGATATGGAGCGTAACTCTGTAAGTGATCATTGAACACTTTCAAGAAACTACCGCATTATAATTTACAATATAATTTTTCTAGGGAAAATATCTTCAGCAATCGATACTGAAGAATCTCATCTTTACATGAGGAAGAACTAGATAATTAGATATGAGAAACAGAGCAAGATGTAAATTTTCAATATCTTCATTACCTCATCAACTACAAGAACATGCATAGCATTTAACGTTAATATGTGCCTCTCAAGCATTTGAGTTAGACTTCCCAAAGTTGCAATCAAAATTGTCGGAGGCTCCGCCTGGGATAATGAAAATTGTAATAGTAAGTCTACAAAGGTAAAGTTATTTGAATTCTTTCACATCAGCTGAGATATTTAATTTAAGCAGCAAAGCATTTTCCAATACTTTTAACCAACTCTCATGTCGCTTCAAGCTTCCTCCATCCAAAAGAGCCATAATAGTAAACCACTTTTGATCACAATTTAGTTCTTTAGGCTTTGCTGCCAGCAGCCTGGCAACTTTTGTAACCTTGTCATACAAAAAGGGCATCATCAATTACCACTAGTGAAGCTTACACTAAAAGTCCTTTCTTACATAAAAATGAAGAAAATGGGCATTGAACCAGAGACCACTCATTTGGAGTCGTAGGCTAAGGTCACTGAACTACTACTACTCTACTAGGTAATACAAGTGATATTAGTTAAGAAACAATTACCATGGATATACCTGGATACCGAGCTCCCTAGTGGGAACCGCAATCAGAGCCTGTATTGCAGACCTTTGAGTGTTTATGGCAGAGAATATTCTCAGTAGGTAAGCCAACGTTTTACCAGAACCTGTCTAAGAAGAAAAGAGGATAATATAATGATTTCATAAGCTTCATCATCTAATATACTTATATACAAGCCCAAAAAATATGTATAAATATAAAACATTAGGCACACAGAAGAGTACTAAAACCTATCATGCTTAGTCATGAGTTTTTTTTTGTAAACAATACCCCAGAATGATATCTCCCTAAAATAAAAGGTCTGCAAAACAAAACACCGTACACTATTACAAAGAAAAGTTTTTCACGTTTTCTGTTTTCCGTTTTCTGGAAAACTGGAAAATATCTCTGTTAGTAAACAGGCCCTAACTTTTTGACAAACTCTTTTTAGGATAAAACCCCTCAAACATATCTATAAGCCTAACTCTCAAAACAACCAACAATTAATCTATGTACAATGGTCCATAAAAGCACATAAACCTGCGCTTGAAGCACACAATCACAGCCAGCAAAGAGAATGGGCAATGCTTCCTTCTGCACTTCGGTTGGCTCAACATACCCAACCTCTTCCATTCTGCAATTTTCTGCTCCCTTAATCACTACTTTCAGATAACAGCAACAACGCAAACCCATTTCTTTTTCAAAATTTCCTCAAAAAAAATATATATTCAAATTAAATGAATATACACAACTTTGGCAATCTTTTGTGTCATTTAAATCCAGAGATTGAAAAAGAAGGCAATCATAGGCCCATTTCCCAAAAAGAATTACAAAGGTTGCATCTTTGGCAGACTTGATCTAGAGTATACAGAGGTAGCATAAATTATTATTATTTACTCAATCTCTGAAGTCCAAACTGCATTCTCTAATAGCCATTTAAAGTTCTAAACTTTAAACAAAGCACGATCACCTGTGTATGATGTGTTCAGGCACATGGCCTTCGCAGAGTTCTTGGAGCGTGGAAACAGTTCTCTTTTTTGCAGTTTCAATCTCAATATTGGAAGAGCTCAGTGAAGCTCTGAGCAGTGTGGGCTGACACGTGGAGTGAACCATCTTATTAGTACAGATAACATGAGTGTTATTGGGCTGGTTTGGGTATAAGCTGTGTGGGTAATATAGTCTGGCAGTCCATGAAAAAGAGTTCAACAGTGCGACAGGGAAACACGCCATGAATACCACGAGGGTGATCAATGCTTTCAGACTTATCACAAGTATAGTACCTCCACTTGACCCTGAAAACATTTAATAACAGCAATGTCATTCAATGTTTTACTATCCCCTTTAATGTTCTCTACGAAAAATGCATTCAAGAAAATAATTTTCATCTACCAAACAGAGACTAAACTAGTAAGTAGTAACTAGTAACCATATTCCCAACTGTTTGAGATGATATAGAAATTCCAATCTAAGTAATACATAGCCTAACAAAATTTTACCAGCATTTGAAAATTTGGTTTTGTATTTCGGAAATGGAGTAAACTCTCCTGGCATTGATGATTAGGTAAGTTCATGAGTGTAGCTAGACAAATATCCGTAATAGCTTGTTCAATTTAGTCAATAAAACCATAAACTTCCAGGTTCTCATTAACAATTTCAATTGACACTAAACAAACACCTTAATAACTACTCGTATTGAATAATGACATAAGACTTCTGTTTTGAATCAAACTCCCGGGTTAAGAATTGTAATTGGGCTATGATTCTGAAAAAAGGAACAATAGAAAAGGGAGTATTCGTCAGAGAATCGATACCTTCATAGTCATTACTCCATATAGACACAGTTCCAGGGTAGTAGCTTTTCTAGTGTCTGGCTATCTGCAGGCAAGTAGGGTCAAGCATCTACAAGTTTGAGCCGGTAACTTTGTTCCAGCGAGCAAAAAGTTTGCGAAAAGAAAAGCATTTTTAGTACTGCACTACTGCGACTATCCACTGGAGTCATGCCACTATCCCCTTGGGAAAAAATCACTAGTAATAAGTATCTACTTGGTACTTACTATCTCCTTGATCCTTCCAAATTAAGAAAGTGAGAATTGTGTGGTGGAGAGTTGTGCAGAAGAGAGAGAAATGTTGTGAACCACAAATTCTTTATCAAAAAGGGAAAGTGAAGTTTTTTTGTGATGGACGAAAAGGAAAGTAGGAAGTAAATTTAGGGATGGAGGGAGTACTACTTAGTACTGTTCATCCCAATTCCGAAGCATCTCGACAGGTCTACCGTCTACGAATTGAATAGGCCGGTGCCTGGTGTGAAGCGGGTTTCATCCTGTCATGCAGATTTTCTCCTGAGCTTGTAAAAGATGCTTAGCTAAATGAGTAAGGATGTTTTCTTTTGGACTAAAATTTGTTGGTCTAGTCTGATCTGGTCTGGTCTGGTCTGGTAAACGTCTGGTCTCTGTGTATTTTATAACTATCCAAGTCTGATCTGGTCTGGTCTGTTTAAGTCTGGTCTGGTCTGATCTGGCCTGGTCTGGGACTGAGAAAACATCCTAAATTTATGATGAAAAGGACGGTTTCATAAATGGTCATAATTCACTTTCATACTATCTATTTGAGAGGTATTTAGGGAGGAAAATGTTTTTGTATAGTTTGTACAATTAGGTCAAATTGAACATAAATAATTTGACCGGCGTGTACAAAAAAAGTGTTTTGTCTGTAATACAGACAATTTTTGGTGTGTGTGAAAACCGGTTTTCTTCATGAAACGCCGATCAAATTTTTGTGTAATACAGACAATTTGATCGACATGTAAAATTACGTTAAAATGTTGTGTACACATAGCGGGGCTGACTTAGGATTTAGGGGGCAAAAGGTATACGAAAAGCCGGTTGGGGCGGGTCCTAGTTTTAGAAAAAAAATGTGATTAACTAATAACCCATACATGGACTATCGCATCCGTATATGCGACTCAAACTACCCGTTTAAGTGTGTAACAGAACTGACAGTTTGTACCCATTATGTCTGTGAGATTTTTTTTGTCTGTGAATCCCGGTCACAGACAAAATATGTCTATACAAATTATTTTGTTTGTGAGCAAAAATGACAAAAAAAATCTCCTCACAAACATGACAGGTATAAAAATGTGTACAAGAAGAAGCTCATACGGAGTATGATTTAATGGTAAAGTTAACCCAAAACAGATGTAGGGACCAATCAAAAGCTTTTGTCATTTTCCCTTGTGAAATCAATTTTCACCTGGTAGGGTAAGGCTGGTCGTTACGTATCCACGATGCTGCAAACGTCTTGCAAAAAGCACGGGAGGCCAGGATACTACATTCATTGTCTATTTTCCTTCTTCCCTTACAGTACATTATCGATAAATTTTACGGAGTACTATATTCTCTTGAACAAGATAATTCACTTATTCTTTTTTTGAAAACAGATAATTCACTTATTTCGGTACCCAAGAACTAACGAGGCTTCACCCCGAACTAGATGAAGAGAAGACCCCCACCCCCTCTGTTGCTTCTAATCCATCCTCAATAGTCGAAAGTTGAGAACTCTAGCTCTTGCACACTATTACTTTTCAAACCAGATAAATGTCTTATTCCACTGTCACCAGCTATAGCTTCAACCCTAGAGCATCTACAAGACTACAATGCTGCATTTACAATGCTGCGATGTGCACAGTGCACATATGATATGAGAGATACCACATAAATAGGACAAAAATAATCTCAATTATAAGTGATCTGATTGAAATAATCTAAAATATCAATTATCTCAAAATAATCTCAACTATTAAAAAATCTTTTCAAAATACTACGGTGACTTATAATTATCCGTAAATACTCCTTCCATTCCAATATAAAGAGCACATTTGTTTTTTCAAACATTTTTAGGAGGAACACTGTTTGGCACTGTTTGGACACTGTTTGACACTGTTTTGCACGGTTTTGTTTGCCAAAAAGGGAAATGTGCCTTTTATATTGGGAAGGCCAAAAAAAGGAATATGTGTCTTATATATATATTGGGACGGAGGGAGTATAATATTTATGAGTAAGTGGAGTATTTTGAGAAGATTTTTCAATAGTTGAGAATATTTTGAGATAATCGATACTTTGGATTATTTCAAGCAGATCAGTTATAGTTGAGATTATTCTTGTCAATTATTCTCACATAAATATTAGTATATAAACTATCTCTCTCCTTATTTAAATGATTTTATACTAGTTCGGTAAGTTTTCTCCACAATGTCAAGAAAATCTTGTAGATGTTGACATTGTGATTGACATTGCCGAGAAAAAGTTACAGAAATTGTATAAAACCATTCAAAGAATTGAAGGAGTGAGATAATTTATCTGTTAATATTTATGTGATTATCAGGAGTCATGTCACATGTGCACCTACACATGTGCACCTACACATGTGCACATTCCAATATCAGGAGACATGAATCCTGATAAAACCATTCAAACCATTCAAGAATTGAAGAGTGAAATAATTTATTTGTTAATATTTATGTGATTATCAGGAGTCATGTCACATGTGCACCGTGCACATTGTAGCATTGAAGATGCTTTTATGTTTTACGAAGTACTAGTATGAAATAATGACTTATATATTATTAAAAAAATTAAAAAGTGTGACCTCTTGACATTCATGTAATTTCCATGTTTATATTTGTGTTTTTAATTAATTTAGATTGATTGTTACTTTGGAAATTACACACTTTTGGTGTAGTAGTTTAGTTTGTAAAAATATTTGTAATTTGTTTAGATTAGGTTCATTCTGAGCTCAAACAGGTCCAAGAACACTTTGGGGACCATTGGTGAACATCACAAGTGGAAGGAAGGTGCAAAAATCTCAAGACAAAATGGAGATTTTGATATTTGTGTTATACCCGGTCGGGTATAACCTATACCCGATCGGGTACCCTACTGGAAAATCAAATCGGATCAACCCGGGAACCAAACAACATGCGGGGAAGATTTTGGCCATGTTCGAGTGTCATACCCGATCGGGTGACCGACAGACCCAGTCGGGTATGACCCTATTTTTCAGCTTCTGGGAAGCTTCTGAGTGTACCCGATCAGGAGCCTTCTATACCCGATCGGGTACACACCCCTGCATGCTCCATTTTCCTATAAATAGACCCCTTTCCTTCCCACAAAAATTACCAATTTCTATACACTTCTAAGCTCAATTTAGTTAAGTACTTTCTTTATATTTTGATCATGTTTAGTGTCCAAATGAGTAGCTAAACTCTTCCATCTTGGTTTTGCTACTTTGAAGCTTAATGAATTTGTAAGTTGTGAGTTATTCTCTTTAATCTTCTTCCTTGAATATTAATTCTTCCTTTAAATACTATTTCTATATCAATGTTGGGGAGTGTTACTAAGATGACAATTAGTTAACATCTTGACATTAGTTATAGTAATAGTTATTTCTTCCTCTATGTTAATATTGGGGAGTGTTACTAAGATGACAATTAGTTAACATCTTGATATTAACTATAGTAGGATTCATCTTCTTTAATATTCTTCCTTGAGTATTAATTAATTCCTATTCATATTTCATATTAATATTTTGAGCATTACTTAAAGGATCAACTAGTTTTGTTTCATATATTAATTATTACTAGAATCGATCGACGAATACGCTTGTTAATCGTTCGATCGTTTCACGGTAGTAAACTTGGGTTATTAATGCATGCGTTTCATGGTTAATATTAAACCAAGGGGAATTAATTATGTTGATTAAACCAATAAACCACTTGTGTTGAGGTTATCAATCTCAATCGTTTTCATCTTGATTTTATTGCTACTATCAGGTTAATATACGGCGTGTGTTCTATATTAACTCGGTAGTAAGTTTTATTAATGAATGCGTCTCGTTATTAATAACTACCCTCGATGAACTGGATATACTCCTCGATTGAGTATTCGAGAGGAAGATAGTTAAAGATATAACCGGGATCGACGAACATTTCATTAAGTGGATAAAAGCAAAGCCAAGTCTTCTTCTCATTAATTAAACCACATAAGTCGTTCATCTTTGTGTTTAAATATTCTTAAAAGTTCTTCAACAACAAATCTAAAACCCCCCTTATTACTAGTTATAAAAAGAGAAGTATTCATTTCCCTGCGGATACGAACCTGATGGAGTATATGGCCCGGGAACCCCCGGCCCATAGACTCTTACTTATGCCACACATATCCAATGAGCCCAGAGAACAACTCAGGCCCAAAAGCAACGGCCCAAGCCCCAAAATAGCCCGAAATACATACTGGGGTGCCTTCGGCCTCCTTGGCCGAAGGCTCCAGAAACTCACGAAGTAGCCCTCTCTGACATACGAAGCCACTGGGAGAAAACGGCGAAAAACATGAGCCTTCGGCATTACCAAGCCCTCGGCATCAGGGGAGCCTTCGGCTGAACTTCGCCCTCTGCCACTCAACGCCTTCGGCTACACAGGGGTCCTCTGTTACACCGAGCCCTCGGCTACACCATGAGCCTTCGGCCAAACACGCTCAAATCATCGAAGATTCCTTTTAGAGACAGCCAACCACCGCATTTAATGCCACGTCACATCCGCCAACCGCATTCAATGCGGTAAACGTACCACTGCCGGTGCCAACCGGTTGATGTGACCCTTCGGCCGTTGGATTACTGACACGTGTCCTCTCATCGCATTTATTGCTGCTATAAATAGCAGCCCGTTCCTCCTTGTAATGGACACAATCTACATCTCAGCTCCACATCTCGAGTTCATTTAATAAAATCGACTCTCTCTCCTCCTATTTGCTCTGACTTCTCTCTAGTTATTTCCGCAATAACCCTTCGGGTAAGATACCCCCCGGGTAGGCTATCCATCATTTGGTGCTCTCGTTGAGAGGTCAGAACAATCAAGTGAGAAACCCTCCCCCTCTACCAAACACAAAATACTTACCAAAAATGGGAAGAACCACCCGTGCCCAGTCCAAAACCCTTGAGGAGAACCACATAGCCCCCGGCGAAACCAACGGGGCTGAGGCCTCCAACAGGCTTTTAGTACCCGAGGGTGGTATCATCCTTGAGTTGGAGCAGGCTACTGCTGACCTCCGTCAGCAACTACAGAAGAACGCCCCTGATGCCCGCATTGGCCTTGATAATCGAAGGAGGGATCGGAGTGAGAACCAAGTTCCCCCTCCGGCCCCGGCCATCGA